AGCACAAATCAGAAGACAAACACAAGGAATCATACTTCTCCACAGCACTTTTCCCAAGTACTAACTGAAGTGCAATGCCAGTGCAAACCCACCAAACAGCAGCACTGCTGGTTGTTCCTCTAGGAACGAGGGCAGCAAAGGGTCATAAAGTCTTCAGATTACCCCACCTGCTGCTGAACCCTGCTCGGGCCAGACCAGTTGTGAGAGACAAATCATGCTCTGTGCTTAGGTGGTTCTCAGACAGCAAGCGAGGGTAAATAATTAGGGGTGCCTGTGACGAAAGCAGAGAGTCTGATTCTCCCCGGCTTTTCACGTTGTGCACTCCCACCAGACGAACATGAAATGCTACCCATAACACGTGTGACTAGAACGTGCAGCTCTTCTCTAACTCCACCTGCACACACGTTTGCCACCATAATTCTTAATACCCCCTCGTGTTAGAGGAGGTTATAGAATCAGGATGCAGGAATGGAGCTGAGTACTCGGCCTGGTTCAGAGGGCGGCTTTGCCACTGGTTTGTATGAAGCTGGACTGATGACCAACCAGAAGCTCCTGTATCCCATTCTTAGTACCCTGAGCCATGCAGCTGTACATGCAAGGCAAGTCCAGGAAGTGGTTTGTAGAGCTGGGAGCAGCTAAGGGGAGGAAATGGCTCCATCACAGCCAACTCCCAAGACTGCTTTCAGACCCCAGAGTGGAGATTTGGCATGACTCCATTCAGACAGAACCTTTAACTCCTACATAACATTACTCATCTCTGACCAGCGAGGATCAGGCTGAACAGAAAGACTGACAGCTTTTATTTCTCTGTCTCATCTGCAGTCTTTCACCTACAAATAGTTTACTGCAGCAGAAGGAAGATATTTAAAAAAATGTATCTTCGGGAAAGCAAAGGTCTCATGCCACCAGCTCTGTTTCAACACACAGGTCATACACATCTGTCACATTCCCATGAACACCAAAGGGAGGGAATGGCCATGCCCCGCATGTAATTCCCATGGAAGTAAGTGGCCTGCAGCTCCTCTTCCCCTACTGCACACATCTAAAAAGTAGGTTCTCGTTCTGCAGGTTGTTCACAGTTTGGCTGAAGCTCGCAGCATTCCAGGGGTCTATTCTTTCCTTGTGAACTTGCATTAAAATTCACAGCTGTTGTATATGCCCGAGCAATGACAAACGGCCTCGCCAAGAGAACGCTCTAGAAGAGGGTATCAGTAAACTAAAAAATCACAGAACATTCAACTTACCCTTCGTCTCTTCTCAAAATTGATCAGGCCGCCCTGTTGGAAGGAAAGAGCAGGGATCAGAATAGCAGAACACAAGCTTAGTTGAACTTAATCACAAACAGCATGAAGTAGCAAGGCTAATGTAAAGCGCAGACATGCCCCGAGCAAGGACCTTCTCAAAATACCTGTTTCCAGATCTGGCATAAACCACAGCACTCATACATCTGAGTCTCCAAGGGATAGCTGTCCTCACGGCCTTGAGGGCAATCTGCCCCAGAAAAAAAGCCCAATACAAGAATGCTCATAAAAGCTGTGTTGAGATCCGCTCTGAAGAATGCTAGTGGGATTTTGCACGGCAGAAACAAACTTGGCTCTTGCCTGTGCTTGACTTTAGCAGTGTTCCCAGGGAGTTTCAGAAACACCAAGGGAACACAAAGCACGGACAGGAGGGAAACTGCCAAAAAGAAAATGGATGTACAGCAACCTTACGCAGGCCTGCTTCTGTGCAGTTCTGACAAACAAACCACCACTAAAAACCCCAGCAACCATTGCCAGCCCAGGGAGAACTGTATTTGCCCATTCTTATCATAAATACCAACACCAGCACAACAAAGGCTGCAGTGTCTCTACTAATGGTTTCAAACACCTTTGAAAACTGGCCCCATCCTCAGTCTCTGTTAAACAACCAGACTCTCTTGCAGTCCTTTTTCCTTTCCTATGCTAAATTGGTTCCCCCTGCTTGTTCAGCTAAAGCGAAACGAAAAAAAAAAAAAACAAGTCTTCAACCACTTTAGGGCTCAGACACACCCGAGTCAATACCAAAGCTCTTCAGTGATCAGTCTGCAGTGCTGAATTTGTGAATGTCTGTATTTTACCAGTTATTCACAGAAATCTGCATGCCTAAAACGTTGTTTTCAGAAAAATGAAACAGAATAATGGAAAGCCTACTTTCTTCACATTTTCTAACCTAAGAAAACAAGACAAAAGACAATGCTAAGCTTGTCTCTTCAGATAACAGCACTCCAATTCACACAAGATTCTTGTTGCTGATAAAACTGCATATTGCTTCCTTTTTTTGAAAACAGATTCCTCCATTCTTAAGAGCTGCAGAAGAACCCGGTAGAAGATACAGGAACAGACACACTCAGTGCTGGGAAGGCAGGGAGGGTATTTAGGATTCAAGAAACTGCCTCAATTTACCTCGATATAGTCCTGAAGTGCTGAGTCAAGCATGATGAGATCAGTGAGGAAGGTACCAAGAAAAGGTACCGTGCCTTGCATTACTGCCTGCAAATGATCAGAGCAACGTTGGATTAAATGATTGAGAAACAGTCATAATCAGAATGCTAGAACACGCCTGTATAGGAGAATGAAATAAAAGCAGTCTGCTTAACCAAACAGTGGTCTTGTCTTTTCTTTCTCTTCCTTCTCTATTTCTTTCACAGCATCCTCCTCAGTATCTAATCTACAATTCAAATCAAACTCTAATGAGAGTGGGATGCTCTCACAGATATTGCCAAGTGGTTTTCTATTACCATACTGCCACCGCACCCTGGTTTCTAACAGTGGGTTACCAGGAAAGCAGCATCGAGCAGCAGGGACAGGGTCCCTCGGCTACCTGCTACAAGAGAAGGAGCCGGGGCATGCTCCCGGCTAGCCTGTTGAAGCAGTTTCTCTCTCTGCCTCATTCCAGTGGATTTTTACTTAATGGTGTTATGCCACCTGACAGTCCAGTCAAATCAAGTCACAGTTGTCCTCCTCTAAGAAGTGACCATCTTCCTCAGCCATTCCTTTCATTTTGAGAGTACTTATTCACATTTTAAACTTCCTAGGCTGCTGGCAGATGTAGAACTCAGGCTGCTTCTACACTTGTGAAGGAAACGCTTGTTTCCACCATCCAAAAGGATCCATACTTTCTCCAGTCAAACACATAGACAAAAAAATCACATTCAGCACTTTTGCCTCCCTATCCCAGATTTCTCTCCCCCATGTCCTTTTAAATCTTTGCCAACTTTGAGACAAAAGGCATTTTCACCAGCAGACGGGAAACTGAACACGTTTTACAAAGCAATCTCTGTAAAAGTCTGTGCCATTTTCAAGCTGGCATGTCAGAAGCTTCATAAGCTTGGTTAAAGTAAATGAGATTAGTTCTGCCAGAGCTAACTTTCTTTTATCACAAGAATTCCAGTACTTACATTAGTTATCTTACTACATGAAAATGTTTCCCTGTATTTCTCTCTAAAGGGTAACGAGAGTAGTTAACGGAATTCATTTCTTGTAGGACAGAAACAAGGCAGTTGAAAACGAAGAATACATGTCTGTATTCACCAATCTTTTATTACTCTTCTATGTGACAGATTTAGTCAACTTCTGGAAGACCTGAAACGGAGGCCAAACCCTTGTCTCAGGGTCCACGCTCAACAGCTGGTTGGGTTGTGAAGCAAATGCAAGCGGGAGCAGCAAACCTGCCCACCCAGTTATCCCCTTGCAGGTGACAGGGGAAGATTGGTGCCAAGCAACACGACGTGGCCCCTGTGTACAACCACCGAATCCTGAAATCTCGGAGCGTTCCCAGCATCAGGTCTCTGAACACACTGGCTATGCTGAAGCTTTGCATATCCGTTTCCTCCGGCCTTTCAGTACACAGGCGGGTCCCACTGGAGTAAGAGGACAGCTGGGCTGCACTAAAAACCACAGCGGTTACAGCGTGGCAGCTCAGCGTAGGCCATACGGCTTGAGCAGGGTGCAGCACGGATCCCGCTTTGGAACTGTCTTTATATACAGATGTATGGGGGGGCGGGGCGGGGGGGGGATCATGTATATATATCTGCACTTTTTATACACGCACACAGAGTAGTACCTGCTTGCTGCGACCCACAGCGTAAGTGAAATACAGCTTTGCACAGGAACAAACACTCTGACGGCCTATTCAGTCTCAACCTTTCGCTTCCCTCGCTTTGCATCCTATAGAACTGATGTGATTGTTTTTCTTGACAGAGGCACTCTCGAGGTCTTTACCTACTGCACGCTCTCCTTGTTAAATACCTTTCTAGTTTTTGCTTCTTCTATCATTCACCACTCAGGGTTAATCACATTATCAGGTCAAAAAGGGGAGGAAAAGGACCCCAAACGCACCATATCTTTTTGAAGTTGCAGCCGCCTCTGTGTGCTTTCCTGATTTTCTTTCACACTGCTGTCCAGGTTGGCAAATTTGGATGTTCCTTCCTGTGAGTTACAAGAGAATTAAAGGCAATTAACAAAGGATCTAAGCGATAAGCTGGCAACTATGCTTGTGTAAAATAATTGCAAATACATTTAATGGGGCAAGCAAAAATATTTGCTGTATAGGTACATGCACGTATACATACATGTGCTAACTTTCTGGGACTTGTACACTGACTGGGAATTGTGGACAAAATCCCACAAAATTACTAGACGGGAGTTTTTCAGCAAAGTGGCTCTACTCTGGTCAAAGCTAAGCGCTGTTGAAAATCTCCTCGGAGTTTAAACCAGAGAAGCTTAGATGCACCTTCAGGTGACCAGATGCTTCTCTGAACTCTATCCTGATACTCTTGACCTCAGGATTTCTGTTTCATTTCCTAATCAGGACTGCTACAATTAACATCTCTATCTTATGTAATGCTTTCTTGTTTTTCTTCTGCTGCAACAGAGATCCAGCAACTACCCTCTGTAGCTTATTGACTAATCCAAAACCACGCAGGAAATCAAAGTAATAGCTTTTCATCTCCACAAGTCAAGCTCTCCTGTGAACGGATGAGCTATTTCACAATAGATCTGTAGCCTTTATTTCCCTGGATCCCTACAGGATGCTGGGAGTTACTGCTACTGTCTCCAGTGGTTGGACAGATGGGGCATGAATCATTATCAGTCTTTTTAAGAGGCACAAAACAACAGCCTGCACTTGGAAACA